AGTTTCTTTTGAAACTTGGGAGGCTTGCATTATTCCAACTTCTAGATAATAATCGCATCTTTTACGAGGAAGACCTAAGAGACAATGGAATCGACACAGAAGAAGCTTCTATCTATTCTGGTTTTTGCAACACGGTTCTCAGAGAAGAAAAAGTTTTCTACCAGAGAAAGATCTTCTTCTTTGTGCATCTGACCCTCCAAGAGTTCTTTGCTGCACTGTATGTCTATGATTGTTTCACAACCAAGAAAACACAAGAGCTTGTAGAATTCCTTAAGTTGGAGGAGAAAGATTATGCTTTAGCTGACCTCATAAAGATGACTGTTGACAAAGTTCTTGAAAAGAAGAATGGTCACTTGGACTTTTTCTTGCGGTTTCTGCTTGGCCTGATGATTGAACCCAACCGAAGACCTCTTCAGGGCTTGTTGACATCTGTTGACCCAAATGAAGATGCAGACAAGAAAGTCTTAACTTACCTGAGATCTCTCCGAAGAAAGAACCTGTCTCCAGATAGCTGCATCAATATCTTCCAGGCTTTGGTTGAGATGAGAGATCATAAACTCAAAGATGAGATCCAAGAATATCTTCAACTGGACAATCGTTCAAAGAAAGAGTTGACTCCCCTACATTGCTCTGCCCTGGCCTACATGCTGCAGGTGTCCAAGAAGGAACTGGAGGAGTTGGACCTAAAAAGTTACAACACAACAGATGAAGGCAGAAGGAGGCTCATACCAGCAGTGAGGAGCAGCAAAAAGGCTGTGTAAGTTTACTTTTTATAATCAAGGAAATGTATCTGTTTTACGATGAATGTTGAATATGAATGTTTTTCAAATCCAAGGGTTTTGATAAAGTTAAGCCTCTTTCCCACCTAAAATAGCGGATTGATACATGTTTTTTGAACATGGGTTGACCCACTAATAATCTGCATTTGGCTCTCTTCCCATTGGTAAAATAGCTTAACTCAAGAACGGCAACCCAGCGTGATGGTATCACCAGACATGCAGCGATGGAGGGACAGAGGCAGTGCAGCTTGGAAGCTAGGACTTAGACCCCTGCCAATGGGAAAGGAGCCAAATGCTGATTTTTAGCTACCCGACCCATTTTTGAAAAACATCCTTTAACCCGCACTTTTTACTGGGAAAGAGGCTCAAAAACAATCAGTGTCACTTTTTCCTTGATTGGTTTTTAGATATCTTTTTTTACACTTGCAATTATTCGGATGTGTTGTTCTTTTGTATAGGAAATAATGATCCATGTGAAGCAGGTTTTAAATTAGGCCTGTACATGTGTAACTAACATCCAGTTCTACCCTTGTAAATTTGTTATAGGTTAAAAGACTGCAATGTGACTGCAGAGTGGATTGAACACCTGGTCTTTGGCTTAAAGTTCCCATTTTCCCCGCTCCGAGATCTGGACCTGAGCAACAACGATCTGATGGATTCAGGTGTGGAGTTGCTCTGTGACGGACTGTCAAGTCCCTGCTGCAAACTTAAAGTATTGAGGTATTTATACACATCTAAATACAGTCTATTTTCTTAATCCTACCATAATAATGTTATTTCTTCCTTTAATGTTAGAGCAACTTTATTCATTATTCATTGTATAGATGCTTTTTACAAATTACCAATAACAAGAGTCTGTGGCAATCAGTCTAAGAGTTGCATCAACCCTTGGATGTTCTCAGGTTATCTGGCTGCTGTATCACATGGACAGGGTGTGAATATCTGGTCTCAGCTCTTAAGTCCAACCCCTCCCACCTGGTGGAACTGGACCTAAGCTACAACCATCTGGGGGAATCAGGAATCAAGCTGATTTCTGAGCAATTTAAACAACAAAAACTCAAGTAATTGCAATGCTACTCCTTTGAATTCCAGAAACCAGTCCAAAATGCCCATATATAGTAGTTTAATAAAGGTGGTTTCTAACTCTGATCTCTCTTTAAAGTTATAAAAATGATGGAAGTAACCGGATCCAACCAGGATTCAAAAAGTGTAAGTAGATAACTTTTATTTTTAGTTCCTTTTTTCTGGGGAGTAAAAAACTACACAAATGTCACATTGTCCTTATGTGGCTGGACTTAAACCATAAATAGAACCAACACCAACAGTACTTTCCAACTGTCAAAGACTGGTATTTAAAACAGAAATGGCCAAATAAAATGCAACAAGTGACGGAGGCTTAGGAAGTCCATCCAGTAACTGGTGGGTTGTTACCAATTCCCTCCCCCCATTTGGACTAATGGAATAAAATCCATTCTTATATTTAACACATCATAGATGACATCTAACCCCCCCTCCCCCTTAGATGCATCTAAGGCAGGACCCTCTGCAGGAGGAGACAGAGCAGGTTAGTGACCACATCTTTCTGGAGGTTGATGATAAAGAACGTGTGAGTCACTAACCTGGTCTAATAGTTTAGTCCGAGCAAAAATGGTAAGGATGGTTCCAGCTGGTCGGCTGCCAGCACAACGAAACGGGTTCTTCCCAGAGTGTCCCAGATGCCGATGCATCGGTGGTCGGAGTGCAGGCAGGATATGAGAACCGAGCAGACGAAGGAAGGCAGGATAATCCAGAGGGCAAAGCCACAGCCAGTGTCGGTGACGTGCTCGGTAGTCAGAGCCAGGAGATCAGAGGTGCCAAGGAGAAATCCAGAACAGAGTTGGGAAACAGTTCCAGGTTCAATTCACAGACAGGCAAAAATTCATTGGGAGCCCACAGGTCAGGCAAACAGATCAGAATGGGAACAGGTAGACTCAGAGGTTCAGAGGCAGAACAGGTCAGGATCAGGCAATCAGAAAACACAGGTATGCTAGCGTACTCTCCCCACAGGCTCAAATAATCTGGCACTGATGAATGTCTGAAGGCTGGTTAAATAGACGTTGAATCAGATGAATGGTAATGAGATGTCGACTATTGAGCCAGACGCTAAAATAGGCCCAATAAATGGGCCGCCAGTTAATCACTCAGGCTCTACGCTCTAATCTGAATCTATTTTTGTTTTTCCAGATGCCTGCACACTTACTCTGGACTCCAAAACAGCACACAAGAATCTGCTTCTATCTGACGGGAACAGAAAGGTGACCTGGGTAGAGAAAGAGCAGCCCTATCCTGATCACACAGAAAGGTTTGAGCACTACGCTCAGGTCCTGTGTGAACAGGGCCTAGAGGAGCGCTGCTACTTTGAGGTGGATGTGGTGGAGCCCTGCACCGTTGGCCTAGCATACAAAAGCATCAACAGAAAAGGAGACACGGTGAACTGCAGGTTTGGGATGAATGAAAAGTCCTGGTCCCAGAGTTGCTCAGGACATGGTTGCTACATATGGCATAAAAACATTGGTACTTTTGTCTCTTCTTTGCGCTGCTCTCGTGTTGGAGTGTACCTGGATTATGAGGCTGGCAGCATATCTTTCTATAAAGTGTCTAATGACACCCACAGCCGTCTTCAGACCTACAAAGATCTGAGGTTCAGTGAGACCCTCTATCCCGCTGTTGAACTTCATCCTCATTCTTCTGCTTTTTTTTGTTAGCTAACATTACATAAGGAAAGTGCAAAGCACAGAGGATGGAGCGAGTAAGGAGCTTCTTTATTATTAGGGCTGTAATATTCTAAAGTAAGAAGTGGATCTGCCCATATATCAGATAATAAAATTAAAATATGTCTTGTATTTTTAAATAATAAAGCAAATCTTATTTTTTTATCCTTTTATTTTCTGTAAATTAAATGATATAAAAAAACAAAACAAAAAAATCTCTATTGTAATAATTCAAATTAAAAAGTGACCTGCAATGACCCCCCTAGAGAGACTCCCATCCCTGTGAGTTTTTTTTTCGTATGTATTGTATTGCTGTACATAGCTCAGGATTCAAAGGAGTTCTGATATTAAGGTATATATTTGTTAAAAGGAGCTGCATGCACCAGAAAGCCTAAATGGGGGAATAAAAAATAAATTTGTTTTGTCAAACCAGTAAATTTTTTTGACTGTAAATAAGTTTGATGTTTTATTTGTGCTCCTTATGAAATAATAATCAGTAATTGATAAGATTTTACAAGCAGTATTTGTTTAAACACTTTGGTGAAACAAGTAGAGCATCCTGTTTCCTAAACATTTAGTTTATCTTTGTTCCAGCCTCTAACACAGTGGTTCTGTTTCATTTTATTATTAGACCATGGATCAAACATGCATCCTCTAGTTGGTTAGGGCTGCACAACAGATGGGGTATATTCACTACTTCACTACTTCCTGCACTTCAGCTAGCTACTTAGTTTCCTGTTTTTCATTACTGGTCAAGCTGATTAATCCAGGTGTGTCTGACCTCAGTAACCATGATGATATTAGCCAGACACACTTGGATTAATCAGTCTTTCCACTAATAAAAGACAGGGAACTAAGTAGCTAGCTTAAGTTCAGGAAGTGGTGGAGTTTGGCATATAATGCAATCGCTCTGTATCTTTATCACAATTTACTGTATGTAAGACAGATAAGGAAGAACTGTCACATAAATGTTTGCTTATTATTCATCTGTCATGTAGTTGAGGTTTCTAGGCCTGTAATACTGTATACTCAATGATGCTTGCTTACTGCAGCATAAACAGTTTTCTAAGCTGAAGTGGTGGTTATGTGTTCATAACAAAGAATCAAACATCAGCCTGATTGAACCTTGTTTAAAATAAAATAAAATAAATGTAAAGATGAAAACCTTCAATTTACTTGTTTCCGCATAGCTGGATAGACTACTGACTTTTGGAGGTTAACATTGGCTATAAACCCAAAACATAAAGACATGAATCCTTGAAACCAACTTTTTTTAATCTCTATTTTGCCACCATAATCTACTGTCTTTCTACTGTTAAGCTTCATTCATGTACAGCACTTTGAATTGTCTTGTAACTGAAATGTGTTATAGAAATAAATGTGCTATAGAAATAAATTTGCTAAAACCCTTTTTTTATGTTTATAGCAGTCATATGATCATGCCAGCATTCACCATTTAAACCATATATGATATATTTTATTGTTATCTTGGTATGATGTTGGGCTCACTGTAAATAATCTAAGATTAATCTTTCTACCATTTGAAAGAAGTTAATCTCTTTTTTTTTTACATTGTTTTTGCATTCATTTCCACTTACGCAGACTAGTAAACAGCTTCTTTCTGTATCAGAAGATTCAAACAGGTCACAAATGTAATAAAAAAGCAAATTAGTTCCTTCTTATGTCTTCAAGGAATTTGTGAATTGATTTCTTTCAAATAAGTATGGTATAGACAAATATATAATTGTCTGCTACTTAGTGAGATAAAGTACATTAATTAAAATGGGTTAATTACCTGTTGGGATGGTTTTTCTTACCCTTTATTAACATATTAGGCACACAATAAAAATTTTATCAACACCGAGATTGTCAGTCTGCTGTCCACAGGTCACTGATAACTGGGGATCAGTTAGCATATCTCTAAAAGATCAAAGGATGAGACTTTCCTCCAATTTACATCTGCAGCTCTATTTTTGGTTAAGTTTCCATTGTGTTCACTTTATTCAGTTTTTACTTAAACTTGGTGATCAAAACTGTTGAAATGACAATCAGTTCCTGCTTAATACTTGATAAAAAGGATGAAAGTGTCATGATCGGTTTACGAATCTGACCCACATGCAGAGATAACCACTCAGAGTACAAGTTTAACAGGTTTATTGAAGGAGAAAGGGAGTAGGATCTGTTACTCAGGGAGCTGATGACCCAGAACTGGAAGTGAGAAGGGATGTTCAGTGGTTAGTTCAGGTTCCGTGGGAATCTAGGAAGCTCTAAGATTTGCAAGTAGAAAACTCACGTTTGAGAGGGGCCTGTTAGTCCTTGAATCCAGGCTGTGTGGTAAATCCAGAGAAGGGTGCACAAGTTGGAGGGCGGACAGGTTAGACAATTGTTGGACCCGGAGGAGTAATGGAGCGGACTGTCACTCGGATTTCCGATGGGTACTTGAAGGGATCATGTGGAGGTTTACCCCTGCTCAGTGTGTACTCAGTAATCCTTCCAGGGGGAGAAGGTTCAGATTATCCAGTTACACAGGAAAGGCTTCCTGCCGAAGAGCAAAGACAAAAAACAAGATTAGACTCAGAGAAACAAAGCTTTGGTTAGACTCTGCTAATCTCAGATTGGCTAGAGTACCCAAAACTGGCAAACACTGGTGTTGAGGTAGTGACAGCCTGCTGCTCAAATACTTCACCGGTAATGATCCAACAAGCCGCAGGTGTGCAGGGAGGCGCAACGAGGAACAGGGCACCACCTGGTGGTGGAGCGAGAAAAACACAAAAACAACCCACACAAACTAGATTCCTAACAAAAGTAATTGTATCAATACATTTATCCTATTCATGTGAGTTTTTCAGATTGAAATGTTGCCTCATACTTTGACAGCGTTTTGAATTTGCTTTAATACAACTGGATATAAAGTAGTTGAGTTTTATCAGATAGAATAGAAGAAAATATATGGAAAACAATCTCATCTCAGTCTTATTGGAATCTACAAAAAAAGGCACCATATTTTAAACACTGAATTTTTTTAACACTGAATTTTTTTACACACTGAATTCCTTACACTGAATTTATATCTGGTTAAAATTTTCCTGCAAAAAAATCAGCTGCAAAAAATTGAGCTGCAAAAAAATTGCCTGCAAAAACTTTGATTGCATATGTGTTGACCTTTGGGTGAACTCAGGCTAAAGCAATCTACACTCCTGCAATCAAGCAACTTCTAGCCAATGAAATTAGCTCATTTGATAACGTGACACAACAGTTGGGCATAGCTTTGTTCCAGGCTGAATTAAGCTGATGGGGAGTTTTTCTTTTTAAATACGGTAGATATGATTGCAAAACGTCAGATAGGTACTGATAGACATCCATTAGAGTTTTTCATCTAATCAGACAGGGTGAAATAACTGAGCCGATCACAGCTGGTGCGGCACCCCTGTCTGCCAAGGCTCTGGTTTGATCCAGAAGAAGCAACCAGCAGCAAACTTCCTTTTTTTTCCTGACAAAATTAGCTCATTTCATTGGCTAGAAGCTGCTCAACTGCATTGAGTGTCAATTGCTTTGGCTTGAGTTCACCAAAAGGTCAGCACATTTGCAGGGGAATTTTTTTAAAGCTAATGTATTGGAGCTGAATTTTTGCAGCTGAATTTTTTGCAGGTGAATATTTTTGGTATACAGAAAAAAAGCATATTCCAGTGAGACTGTTTTACTTCCATAAAAATAGAATAGAATAAAAAAAATATCCCTTTAATGTCCCACAATGGGGAAATTCTGGTGTTTACAGCAGGAAAAAAGAGTATAGAAAAAATGGTTTCACAAATGTGGACCTTAGAACAATGTATAGGATTAACATAATAAAGAAGAGTTTAAAAAAATGAACAAATTAAATACTGTACTGTAGAGTGTTTTAACAATACAAATACAGAATTCTGACTTTAATCTCAGAATTCTGACTTTTTTCTTGTCAGAATTCTGACTTTAATCTCAGAATTCTGACTTTTTTCTTGTCAGAATTCTGACTTTAATCTCAGAATTCTGACAATAAAAAGTCAGAATTCTGAGAAAAAAAGTCAGAATTCTGAGATTAAAGTCAGAATTCTAAGATTAAATTCAGAATTCTGAGAAAAAAGTCAGAATTCTGAGATAAAATTCAGAATTCTGAGAAAAAAGTCAGAATTCTGAGATTAAAGTCTGTATGTGTATATATGTATGTATAAGATAAGTTAACCCCAAAAAGTTGTAGCCACAATTTACTAAGACGCCTTCAAAAAAAAATCTGTCACCAGAGGGGCTCAATATTTTCAAGATAATAAAGGGGAAAAATGCATTCCATCTCAGCTCAGTACAGGTAATTTTTTTTTATTTTATTTTTTTTTATTTTTTTTAAGGCTCATGGAATGATTCTGCTTCTTTAAGAGAAGGTTGCCAACTCTGTGCGAAACCGAAAGTAAACTAAGAGGGACTTCGCATTCATACCGTTAAGCTGCTTATCTGGACTGGTTTATTAGTGGATAGAAATCCAAAAGTGGGAGAAATCGAGTTATCTCGAGCAGCGAAAGGTGAGCTTCTGCATGTTTTTGCTCTTTTTACTCATTTCCAGCATGAATGTTGATGCGTGTTTTATGTAAGTGCGTGTTTTTTTCTAACTACTCCCAGCCTGTAGCAGCAGCAGACATCTTGGAACTACGCAGTGACTCAAACTACAGCAGCTGCCGCTGCAATAAAGGTCTAAACGCTCATTTGTTTTTTATTTTTGAAAGTAACTGATATTATTTGATGAAAGAATTTATATGTTTTTCTATCACCTTTTTCTCTCAAGCCATAAAATAGATCCTGGTGTTTTTTTCTAACTACGCCCCAGTCTGCAGCAGCAGACATATTGGAACTACACAGTGGCTCTGTTCGAAAACCTTGGCTACATCTGTTGCTTAGCAACCTTGAAAGTTGGCACACAAAGCAGGAAAAACATTAATACCGAACTTTTCAAAACATTTTGTTTATTTCTTTCTTTTTTATTGTAAAGTGAACAAAGACTACACTCACAAGAATCCAGAGTGGAATAAAGGTTCCAACCTTAGTCAGTTAAATAACCCGCTGCTGTCATTTTGCGCATCTCTGATGCTGCTGCTATTTCAAATATTCATTACTGTAAAAATGTCCATAGCTGCATATTGGTTATTTATTCTCCAGTTTTATATTGTTAAAACGCTTAACAGAGTTGTATTGTTTATATTTTAACTCTTACCTATTATATTCTTATACATTTTTCTAAGGTCCGCATTTGTGTGACCATTTTCAATAATCTTTCTGCTGCTGTAAATTTGCCCATTGTGGGACAATAAAGGGATTTTCTATTTTATTCTATTCTATAAAAGGATTAGAAATATATAAGTAAATCTAAACAATGTATGTATAAAAATATATCTGCAAAATCTCTTTTTTTCATCAACAAAAATACTTAGTTAAGCATATTGTGCAAAACAGCAATAAAAAAATTAAACTCCTATCAGATTTATAGTCCCCACACTGCAGATATATTAGAATCTGTCCTTAAATTACAGCCAAACTAATTTAGACAGCAACAGATTAAAACCTTTAGATAAATCAAACATCACCGCCACATATCTGACTCAATAACCATTAAAACAACTATTTTCATTAATCTCAGACAGAACTATTAAATGACTTGTATTATATTAAACTGAACTTCCAATTTTCACCACTGTTCGGCGCCAAGTAACCTTTCCTCTGATCACGGAGCAACTCACGTCTTGCTTGCTCTCGCAATGAATCCTGGGTAAACCAAGGATACATCAGACCCGTCCTTCAAATCAGGCAAAAAGAAGGACGCATTTTAAGGACGCATAACGAGGACTCTTGGAATCCGACCAGACCTCGGCGCCACGCTATGACGTAATCGTCCTTCAAATCTGGCCTTCTAAGGACGCGTCCCAGGATTTCGAACAGAGCCAGTGGCTAAAACCACAGCAGCTGCTGCTGCAATAAAGGTCTAAACACTGTTTTGTTTTTTATTTTGAAAGTAACTGATATTATTTGATGAAAGAATAAATATGTTTTTCTATCAACTTTTTCTCTCAACCCATTAAATTTATCCTGGTGTTTTTGCTTTTTTCGTTTGTATACAAACGAGTGGCGTTTGTAAACACTTAAATATTTTATTTAAGGATTTGTTAATTTAAATATTTAATTAGGCTATTACAGTTGATCTAATATTGTAGATGAGTTTAGTAATAAAGGTTTCTGTACCACCATGCAGTCCAACCCCTCATACTAACCTGAGAACCCTAAACAGGGCTTGATGTTAACCATCGCCCAGGGCAAGTAGTTTTTATTGTCGGGAGAGTACAAATTTCATTGCATTTGCCCGCTGGGTAAGTGCAATGCCGGCGCCATTTTTGTTGTTTTGTACACATTCTCGCGATTTGAAAAAGGTGCGTGATTTTAAAAAACGGGTGATTTTCCGCTAGATGGCGTGATTTTTGTCCACCTACGTTAATTTTGATAAAGTTACCAAAACGACAAACAAGCTAGAAAGCGCTATCATATGGCAGTATTCTGTACAGTGATGCAGGTCATTCATTAAAAAAATGTTCATTCAATTTTTTTCTCTTAGACATTGGAGAGGTGCATTTAAATTTTATAGAGCTAAACATGTTAAATTGGTGACCTGTTATGTTATTATTGTCCTGTTGCTGCATTTATTTTGTCAGGGCAAACTAATCCATAGTCAGTTAAAAGTCAGGGAATTCTGAAATGATGTCAGACTGTGGAAACCCTGTATAAAATAACTGTATAATTATTCTCTAGAAAAGTCACATTATATTAATAGGATTATCTTGTATAAACATACCGTGACTCTAAAATAAAAGTTATTCATTTGTGACATTGACTTCTGTCTTGTGATTTATCTTAAGTTTTTAACCTGTCAAGTTTCTTTTCGATCTTTAACATTACAATTTATTTTTTTCCAAGCACACAACAGTTTAAAGCAAAGTTTAGTTTGAAAAGAATGTGCAGGAAGGATTGAAAAGCATGTTAACACGGTAATGTAGGCTTGAGTTCATTATCTGACGCATGCATATACACACCAGGAACCTGTAAACTTAAAAAATACTCAGTTACAAAAAACAGACATGTTTCATTGATATATATACAAAAATGAATATTAGGAACTATATTTAACAAACATTATATCAGGCAAGTAAAAATTGTTTCTGGGCAAATGAAATGTGAAAGTCACTTGCCCGGGCAAGTGGTAAAAATCCTAACGTTAACTCCTGCTAAAACCAACATAGATATTTTCTCTGTTGCTTTTCCCATTCTGAATTTTTTTGTATATACACATATTTTTGTAATAATATTAATTTCAAAAATTAGTAAGCTACTTTTTTTCCTGTATTAAATGGTTTAGTAGGAAATATTAAATTCAACAATTTTTTTTTAAGTCACACCATATTCCAGAAGATATATAGCAAGCTTAGACAGGTTAGCTGAAGCTTGTGTACATTTCTCTCATTTTACATCCAAATATCTACATCTTGCATATTTGCTATTGGCTCAAACTGGTAACAACATAAAAATATCTATAGTAGAAAAATCTAGTTATTGTGTGTCCTTCTGCGACTCCTCAGCCAATTAACATCACACATGCCTCTAGCTCAGTTCCCTGCTGGCCTCTATACTGCCTGCAGTAAATCTGTCCCTGCTGCAGAGATAGTGGGTTTATAAAAAATAACTGATCTACTTCTTGTAACGCACTACATTGGAGTTCAGGTAATTTGACATAATTCCTGGTAAATGAAATTTAATTAGTAAGATTACTTTTTCAATGAGAAGACAAACACAGTTAATAATACCTTTACTTTTACAGCGCGGCTATTCCTATGGTTGCCTATAAGGAACTGTAATCTCTGAAACTGTTTGGGGTTCACAAGCTGAAATATTTCAAAAGCTCTCCTTTCTTTTAGGAAGAATTTGTGTTAGTTTATCATCATGGTGGAAGTGTGAAGAGTCTCAATATTAACATTAATAAACAGAAGGGGATAATTAATACAACCTTTCCAGGGTGTACCCCGCTTCTCGCCCATAGACTGCCGGAGATAGGCACCGCCCCCCCTGTGAACATGACAGAACTAGTGTGAGAATATGGATGGATAATGTTGGGAAACTTTCTGTACATAAAATACTGTCTAACTCGATCCTGTTATGTTAATAATATACTTAAAAGGCTAAATTTGATGTGCAGTAATTTTAGATTTAGTTACTCTAAATTTCTATTGTCAAACTTTTACCTTTTGGAGACAGTATAATTCATATTCAACTAAAAACATAAATTCTGAATTCCAAGTGCAAATGCATTAAACAAGAATAAACAGAAAACAATGTTAACAAAACCATTACATTGATCGTTGTTTTAAATGTTTTTGTTAAGTTTAGCTCCTGAAGCAAAGATGGCTAAAAGGAAAAAGAGGTGACTGTCAGAGTCTTCCTCATCGAGGACCATGGAGCCAATGGATGCCTCCAGTGAGTCGTTTCACAGGTAATGCTGAGCTAATTCAAAAAATTAAATACAAAATTAATCCCAATGTTTTGACAAATATCTTATTATCCTTTAATCATGGTACTGTTGACCTTATATTTATTTATGAATGGTTCAGGTTAGTAGAGCATCAGTAAATATTTCTAGCATTGATGAACAAAACCTTCGATCTAAAGCAGTCTCTAAGCAGCAAGTACCTTATCAAATAACAAATGTAAGTAAACATAACAAATGTAACATATTGTAAACATAACAATGAAGGACCCCCCCCCAAAAAAAAAAAATAAGACAAAAGATGTTTACATATGTTAAGAACAGTTTTGAAACTTTTAAAGATTACAGTTCTGCAACAAAACTCAAAGAAAAAAAAACTGCCATTAAGGCCCCTAAACTGACTTAGACTTAGGCCTGATCTGACAATCAACAACTCAATAAAACTAGATTTTTTATTTTATCTACAGATGTTAATAATTACAGAAAAAAGCTTTAAAAACTATTTTCAATCCTATCAGTAACCAGCAACCCTTTGGTTGCAGTGCTAACTGCATCCACCACCACTGTTGCCCACTTTCACCAGTGGCAAGAATGTGAAAATAAAGATAAGCATAACTGTTTTTCTTTCTATCAGTGGCTATAGATGACTAGATTTATGCTAAATTGCAGTTTTTCTGGTCTTACTTAATTTGCCATTTAGAATTATTCTTCATTTCCTAGACAGCACTGAACTATTTTGATTGGTGTTTGCATACCAAATTTGTCAAAAGCTATAAATGAACTCAGTTGTTAATTGAAAACTCTTCTGTTTGTAGTTCAGAGGTAACAGGAAGCAGATCTCCAGCTCCCAGCAATGTGTCCATTAGGAGCGATCGATCCAAAGAGGCAGTGCCTGATTTTGCTGGTGAAACGGCTCCAAGGTAAGTTTCACCTGTGGAGTTAAAAAAATATGAGCACAGAGTTGATATTATAGGAAGAAAAGGTTTTATTTTACTCTGCAGAGGAGATCATCACGACCAGCCTAAATGCAGCTCAGTGATGTTCTGAGGCTGCAACGTTCTCACCCCTTCATAAAAAGGGGGACTTCACACACTTTAGCACTTTAGTTCATCAAAGGACAGAGATGACAATTGTTTTCTATTCACACCAGGACGTGAGAATCTTGACATGTTTCCCATATATTTAGCCTAGGGGGGAGACTTCCTTTCAAACCTCCTTCCTTTCCTTTCATCTCAGCAAGGCTTCTAAGTAATAATTTTTATTCAGGAAAAGAGAAAAAAACAGACTTTAACATCACTTACAAAAATACCATTCCACACACTATTTTTATTAAGCTTGAAGAAAGTTTATTCATGGTTAATAAATAGAGTATGTAGACCTTCAAACATCCCCTAGATAACTTTGCAGTGATGATATATTTTAAACTATTTGTGATCTGTTCAGTTTCAGTTCAGTTTATTTCTATAGCGCTAATTCACAACACATATCATCTCAAGACACTTTACAGTTCAACCAGATCATACAGTCAATTTAATTCAGTTTTCTATCTAAGGAAAACCAGTTGATTGCATCAACTCATTGACTCAAAGGCAATCCCTCACACTAAGCATGGTTGTAGCGATAGTGGAGAGGAAAAACTCCCTTTTAACAGGAAGAAACCTCCAGCAGAACCAGGCTCAGTGTGAGCGGCCATCTGCTGAGG